AAAGTGCACTGTGAACAGAACATTGTCAGATTGCTCTCCCCTGTCTTAATTTTGGCTGTCTCCACCACGCACAGAGGAACATGTTGAATTTGTCTTCTCACCGAAAGACCCAAACTTTTCTTTCTACAAGGGGAACTCTGTTCTTGCAAAGGTGCCACAACTTTACTCTCGAAGCCCCTTACCAGAAGTGTTTTCTTGGATGGCATGAGCCCCCTGCCTCTGTGGCAGGCTTTCACCGCGGCCCTTGTACCTGGAACTCTGATTGGGAGCACCTGGCCCATCTCTCTCTCATATTGCCTTTCCAGGAAACAGGCCTCCATCCCAGACCGCCATACCTGCCAAGCGGACGCTTCATCCCTACGCAGGCTGCGAGCCGCTGGGGGGCTGCGTGGAGATGCATGAGGAGGAGCCAGATTGCTCTCCCCTGTCTTAACTTTGGCTGCCTCCGCCATGCGCAGGCCCGATTTTAAGGACCCGACGTCTTTCTTTCGGGATCATCTGGAACCTTGACCAGTTCCCATCAGCCCAACGGAAGGGGAAGGGAAGAACGCTTCAATGGGTGAGGAAAATTGACACGCTCCTGAGCAGAAACCCCCGGGTGGGCTGTCCATCCCGATGGCTGGTCCATGTAGTGTGGCTTCGTGCCCCCCCCCCCACGCGTCTCCACGCAGCCCCCCAGGAAAGAGAAAGAAAGAAAAAGAAGGAAGGAAGGAAGGAAGGAAGGAAGGAAGGAAGGAAGGAAGAAGGAAAGAAAGAAAGAAAGAAAGAAGAAAAAAGAAAGAAAGAAAGAAAGAAAGAAAGAAAGAAAGAAAGAAAGAAGAAGAAAGAAAGAAAGAAAGAAAGAAAGAAAGAAGAAGAAGAAAGAAAGAAAGAAAGAAAGAAAGAAAGAAAGAAAGAAAGAAAGAAAGAAAGCTACAGTAGTGCCAAAATTGTGGAAACCTTTTGGGAAAGTGTATTTTTGAGGTTTGATTGCTAATAACACCATTTTTTTTTTTTTTTTTTTTTTTTGAGTTTCAAGATAATCATATTCCACTGCTGGAATGGCCTGGGAACAGCCCAGACCTTACTTAACCCAATTGAAAATCTATGGAGCCGATTAAAGAAACTTGTTAGTCAGAAGCAACCCAGCAATAAAACCCAGTTAATAGAAGCAATCATTCAATCTTGGTTTCACATTATAACAGCTGCAGAACTAAAAGAGTTGGTTCACTCCATGGGAAGACGTTGTAAGGCCGTAATTCATGGTAAAGGTTACCCAACTAAGTGTTAACTGATGTGATAATTTTTGTATATCTCGTTTTTTCTATGTGTTTCACTTTTCTTCTTTATACTGTAACTACTATTCTAATAGCAAATCCTTCATAAAAGTTATTGCATTACATTCTTGATTAAATTATCTTTCCATTGATATATAATTTTATGGTACTACTCCAAAAAAAAGTGGTGTTATTAGCTAGTTTTAGAAAATACACTTTTCCCAAAAGGTTTCCACAATTTTGGCCACTACTGTAGTTTAGGGCCCAGGACTGCATTGCAATGCCAGAGAGGCTTCCAGACAAGCTTCCATGCTTGACCGATGATGCCAAGCTTGTGGGGTGGGTCTCTACCCCAATCAGTTGGCCATTGGGAGGCTGCAAACCTTCCCTGGCTCTTGCTAGCCTTTGAGGAAGCCAGCTGCCTGCATAGAAAGAGGGTGACAAATTCTGTTAAATTACTTGCCTTGATGAGTGATACCAGGTTGAAGAGTACAGTAGAGGAAAAGAAGCCAACAAACTAAGGAAATCTCTTTGCAGGCTGTTTGCAATCGAGAAGTTGAAGAAAAAGTTCAGACCAAAAGCAAAAGTGGCTAGGCTTGCCAAGTGTCCACTATTTGAGCGGACAGTCCATTTTTTTCACATTATGTTCACTATTTTTTTTCACAAAATAGTGGACACTTTTTTTATTCAAAAGCTTTATGATGAAATGGTACGTAATCTAAAGCTGTACAGTCTAAGAGAATAAGGATAGGAGAATCGTGTTTTGTCTTTTTTTTTCATAAGTTAGAATGAGACAAAAAATACGATGAGCAGATTTTTGGGAATGAAAGTTTTATTTGCCTTACGTAAAAAACATTTGCCTGAGAATGCCGTGCAAAAGTTCAAGAAAGAAGCCATCAATGTGTATCAAAGAGCCATTGCGTACCTAGAAAAGTGGTATAATTTCACCGATTCAGTATATGAGACGCTAAATTGTTTCAATCTAATTGATCGCAATAATCCTCCAACTTTAGAAGAAATTATGAACATCTGGTTATTATCACCATGGCGAGAAGAACTTCCACCCAACACTCTCTTCGATGAAATTTTTGCCTTAGAAGAAGTTTATGTTCATCTGCAGGGCGATTCATCCCTTGATAAGTGGATGTACTTTTTCAAGAAAGAGCCAGCTCCGAGTTTACTGAAACTGTTCCAGTATTGTGCATCAATTCCGGTATCAAATGCAAACGTTGAACGAATTTTCAGCGTCATGGGAAATTTGTGGACTGACGAACGTAACCGACTGCTTGTACCATCAGTTCGAAGTGAACTTTGTATATTTTTTTAATATTTCTCAACGTTGTACTGAAATTAAAGAATTATTCCTTAAACACAAAGAATTGATCAAAGCTGCGCAGTCAAATAAAAAATACACACGACAGCAAAGTAAAATGTAATTTAATATTTTATATATTATTATAATATATTTGATGTTTTGAATTTTAAGTAAAGTTTTGAAGTGATTATTTTATTAAACATTTTAAGTGTTAAAATGTTTGTAAGAAAATATATAATTTAATTGTAAAAAAATTTTTTTGTTTTTTTACTACTTAACACCCACCCACCCCACTTGTCCGCTATTTTTTGGAAGCAGACCTGACAATCCTACAAGTGACTACAGCACAAATGTTCACCAAATGCAGAAGCTGAGTCCTAAAGGCAGCCAGACAGGCAATAAAAAGGTTTCTAAACTACTTTTTTTTTAAAGAGCTTAACTTTGGAGAGGGGGTATTTTCTGTCATAACTTTGAACAACCATTAAATGATCTGTCATATCTTGAGGACTATCTGTCATCTACATGAGAGGTAACAGGTATGAGCCTACAGTGCTGGCTTTTATTTTCTAGGTAAAGTACACAGATACATTCTCACAGCTTATACTGAATTGTTCCCAAATATCACCACACATAAAGAAGGGGGGTGAGATAATATGTATAATAAGCATGTCTGAGAGATACTGCGGGTTCAGTTCCTGACCAGAGCAATAAAGTGACTATCGCAATAAAGCAAGTTACACAATTTTTTGTGTTTCCCAACGCATATAAAATTATGTTTATACTATCGTCTGTTAAGCATGCAATAGTATTATGTCTAAAAAAACATACTTAATTTTAAAAAACACTTTATTACTTTAAAAAATGCCAATCATCAATGAAGCCTTCAATGAATTATAATCTTTTTGCTGGTGTAGGGTCCTGTAAAAAAATGAAATATCTGAGAAGTGTATTAAAGCAAAGTGCCATAAAACAAGGTTATATCTATCGCTCTAATCTTCTGTTGTGTACTGGGGACATTATTTTCCCTATTTCATTGCCAAATAACATAAGGCAATGAAAATGAAAAGGAAAGGTTTTAATCAAAGGAATGGAAGTAGCAGGAACATGTGGCAGAAAATGATTGTGTAAGAAAGTTTTTATGGGAAAGATGAACCTGAAAATTTTCTTTAAATTATGACAGACTTATGATGTTCATAATTTTTGGCTTTATCACTGGAAAGTATTTTAACTTCATTTCTTTATTTAATCCAACTGAACAAGTCCCAAACCATTATAGGTGTAATTAAAAATTTATTTTATGATATCTTGGCACTGAGATTTGGTTATTTATTTATTTAAAAGACTTGTATTCTACCCAGACTATAACTGAGTAATTTAGTCAATACCATATTTGCAGTATTAAAGACTACAGGTCATATTTAAAAGAATTCAGAATAAAAGTATAACACTGACTTTTATCCATATCATAAACATGTTTCGGAATAATCATAATGTAGAAACTGCAGATAAAATTGTTTTTTCAATTCATAGACTAATAGGAGTATTAGTACTGAAGTTATGCTAATTTCCAATCAAGTTTTTTAAACACTCAAATTATTGCAAGAGGAATTGGGATATCTAAGATTAAGGGATCGTAATATATCCAATCAAAACAACTTTTGATTTCAGAGGTTAATCCAATTGCATTAGCAAGATCTAAAACTCCTGACTACTGTAAGCACTGAAATGTGTTCAGGATTATTCCAAATTAAAAAGTATTGTTAAAATGGATATGGTATTTGCAAGAATTTTCGAATAAAAAATTGGAATTCCTGATAATAACAAACAGGGATTAAAGTCCAGACTAATGTATCTTTCCTATTATCTGAAGATGACATTAAATCAAAAAACATTTTCTCATATTTATTGGACAATTCAGAAGATGTTTTAAAAGGACTCACTTATACTGGAAGTAGAAATGAGGATTCTTGTGCATATTCTATGGATTTGCCATACTACGGTCCCATTTTGGTTTCATAGCCATAAATTCCTTAATATTTTGCAAAGAGTAATATATTTTAAGATGTGAATGTGATAGATAACTATGAATCTATCAAGCATGAGGTATAGAGAAAATGATAAGAGAAGAGAATAACAGAATGTTCACTTAATAATAACAGAATTGGGAGGGACTTTAGAAGTCTTCTAATCCAACATTTCAGACATTTCAGATTTTACTGTTTTATAATGGAAAGACACTGCTATAATCTTGGATTAATATGTATTCATGCCATGCTTGCAAACTGGCTTTTTATGGATGTAATGGAAAGACTGATCAATACAAATGATTTTGACCAAGGTTTAGTACAGTGAATAAATATCTAGAAGCTGTTTTTTATATGTATTTTTTTTTGTCCTGTAATGTTTTCTTTTTTTCTCTCCTTTTATAGTATTTTCAGTACAACTTAATGTTGGAAAGAAATTATGAAAATCATGAATAATCCATCAGCAGGATAAGTCTTCCCAAATTGAACACAACAGGATCAAATTTGGTGTGGTGTGAAAGCTAGCAAAAGAAATAACAAGGTCAAAATTGACCCCGGATCTGGCTGAAAGTGCAGAGGAAAAGATTCCTGAAGGAAAATATACCCCTCTACATCCCTAAGGGGGAAACTGTTTGGTACTAGCTTGGTATGGGATTTTTTAAAGATTTTTTTTTTAATCCTGCTTTTATTATTTTTTATACATAACTCAATGCGGCAATCCTACCTAACACTCCTCACAGTCTCCTGGTTTCTAGCCTGGTGCCGTAACCACTTAGAACCACTAGATTGGCTTAGTTTGTTATATTGTTAATGCGGGAGTATCAAATTTGATTTCATTGAGGGCTACATTAGGGTTTTCTTTCACCTCGGGGGAGCCAGGGGGGGCATGGCCAGGAATGTGTGTGGCCATCTCAATGTCACACATTGAGGCTCCATTTTTGGCCACGACGGCCTCTTGCAGCTCTCTGCCAATGAAAACAGAGCCCGGGAGAGCCACACACAGCCCTCCCAAGCTCCATTTTCACTGGTAGAGGGCTGCAGAAGGCCGTTGCAGCCAAAATGGAGCCTGAGTGGGCTGTACACAGACTCCCCAAGTTCCATTTTCACTGGCAGAGGGTTGCAGGAGGCCATCACGGCCAAAAATGAAGCCCAGGAGGACAGCGTGTTGCATTCCCAAACTCCGTTTCCACTGGCAGAGGCACCATGGGCCGGTCCTTCGCTGTTTCCAGGGTGGCCCCATGGGCCAGATCTAAGCATCCTGAGGGCTGGATCTGGCCCACAGGCCTGAGCCCTGTGCTAACGGCTCAGTCCTACTCCCGGTTTTCCTCCATAGTCATATGATCCACAGTGAAGTGGCAACACATTTGCACCCTGATTAAATGTGCGTTAGAGGCAAGCCATATGCAGAGAGGGGCAGCATATACGTTTAATAAGTAAATCTTCCTCTTTCCTTCCTTCTCTCACGCAGAGAGAAGCAATACATTACTTTGTTACATAGAGAATCTGGTGCTAGTGTTGGATGCCAGTTCCTCTGACTTAACAAAAAAAGGTGGGGGGCGGGATTGGACCATTTCCTGGAGGTCATGGGGATCAATGGTTATTAGCTTTAATGCCATCTGACATTCATTGTGCAATTGGTTGGCCCCTGCTGGACTAGATAGGCCACAGCTCTGAGGCAATACTTGTGTTCTTATGTTTAAAAAAATACAGAAGCCTCCGATGTCCACTGTGGTAAAGGATTTGGAAATAATCCTAGGAGCCTATTCTGCATGCTTTCTCTATTTTGTTATTCTTTCCACTTCCTTGGAATGTTGGAGAGAAATTACATTTGTTTATTATCTCTGTCTTTCTGTCTATCAGCAGGATAACTTTCCGAAAACCACAGAGTGAGAGGAATTAGATATGGCAGAAGAAGACAACAAAAGAAATGTGGAGCCTGAAAATAAGCCAGATCAAGCCATTGACTGCAGAGGAGAGGGAAAAAATCTAGAATGCATTTCTATGGAAGAATATTTATGAAGAATGTCAATGATCCAGGTCATGGTTCTCCCAAAAGTGCTTTTCCAAAAGACAACTGGACTTGGGGGTTTTTTCCCTTGAAAATGTTTTGCTTCTCATCCAAGAAGCTTCCTTAGGTCATTCTTCAGAACCAAAGAAGCTCCTTGGATGAGAAGTGAAACATTTTCAAGAGAAAAAATCCAAGTCCAGTTGCCTTTTGGAAAAGCACCTTTGGGACATTTATATGTGAGACACAGTTGAGCAGCAGCTAGGAATGTTGCTGACTGTTCCATTCTAAACTCTCTGGTCATCTGACTCCAAGTAACGCACACACCTTTGGCATTTGTAATGTGTGCATATATAAACACCTATGCAACGCAAGGCAAATATATGGTACACACTAATATATGCCATATGTATTTCATATTTATTCATTGCATAAAATTTTTAAAAATGATACTTCCTATGGCAGTGATGGCTAACCTTTTCTGGACTGAGTGCCCAAAGCACGTGCGTGCCCAAACCCCCCAAATGCAATGTGCACACGACCCCATGCATGTGCCCCACCCCCATGTGTGTGTGTGCCCCCATGCATGTCCTGGCCCCCATGCATGCAGGGCAGGCCTGCATGCGGCTCCACCTCCCATGCATATGCGGCAGAGACCCAAAGACCAGCTGGCTGGCGGGAGGCGCACACACATGCACAGTGGAGCTGAACTGGGGTGATGACTCACATGCCATCAGAGACAGATGGCGTGCCATAGGTTCGCCATCACAGTCCTATGGTAACTGCTGGTAAAAGGGGTTGCACTCTTCGACTACATTGTTTGCTGCTTGTTTTGGTTCTGCATTTTTTTTCCTTTATTTCTATACATTAAAGCTTTTTTAAAAAAAAAATCATGTAATGATGTAATTTTTTATTTAAAGGGCTAATTAAAAATTAAACCAATGGAAAGAATCTCTATATCAGCCGCTCAATGAAGAGAGAAGAATGCTAGCAGGCAATGATAAAAAGGAAGAATTGCGGAACTCTTATTTTTACTTTGCTCCAACAAAACAACCGTGAAGGCAAGATGAACCAGTTCTGAAGCCAGAGGTTAACAGAACCAGCTCAGGTCTTATCTGAGTTAATTTAAATCTCTCCAGAGCTAGATAAAGAAGCAGCATTTTCATGATCCCAACAACCCTCTATGTATTATATTTGAAAAATGCAGGGGAACTGGTAATGGCAGGTGATTGGAAGAAGAAAACTTTGTATCTGTACCTTCAAAAGGGGGGGCGGGGAAGGAAAATTTGGAGAAAAACAATACTCTTCATCTGATATCAATACCTGAGAAGTCTGTAAAGTTAGATCATAAAAATATTGCTGTATAAGCATCTTGAAAGCAGCCTGTTAACTCAGTAATCAGCATGGATTTATCAAGAATAGATCTTGACAAACTAGCCTGATTTCAGCTTTTTTGAATGGGTAACTTCTAGGGGAATGTTGACTGCATGAAATAAATCTGATGTCATCAAAGTGTCAGATATCTCATAGTATCCTGATAGTCAAGCTTGCTAGTTGTTATTTAGAAATGTTTAAAAATGTTCATCAATATTGCTCATCGAACTGGAATGAGGTATTAAGTGGAGTGCAACGACTGGCACCCTACTTAATAGTTGTCACCATTTTTATTAGGATGAGGTAGAAGGAATGCTTATCAAATATAGAAGGAATAACTAATATCTTAGAAGATAAAAATAATGTTCAACTGGATCTTGACAGCTTAGAGAAATGGGAGAAAATTAACATATGACAATTTAACTTAAGCATGCATAAGAGCACCAGCGTGCCTACCGTCCCTGTCCTAATGTTCCCTTTAATTGTATTCATTTTATGTATTCAATTCATGCTTATACTTATATAGATTATCTAATACGTACTCGACAAAATAAATAAAAATAAGTAAATAAATAACTCAGACAAACCCGAAGTTCTTCACTAAAGAGAATTCAGTGGGGAAATATAGGATAGGATGTACGATTTGATAGAAGTAGTCATAAAAAGGATTTTGGATTAGTAACTAACTTCAGGCCGAATGTAACACAGCATTGTGAGATAACTGCAGAATGAAGAAATGCAATTTTAGCCTCATTCAACAGATTCAATGCAGTTTCCAAATCATGGGAAGCAATATCCCACCCAAGCTCAGCATTGTGGCAGTTCATGGCACTGTAGCTTAAAGATATAACCAAAATGGAATAGCTTTGGAGAAGGGCAGTAAAGTATGATTAGAAGAGTAAGTAGTCAAGAAATTTACTACTTAAAGAATTTACTAGGGAGATTTGAAATTAACATCTATGAAGAAAGATTTTAAGACTCAAAGAATCCTATGAAGAAGGAGCTGAATATATTTAACATTGAGAAGTGCAGAGTTAGAGGCAAGGTAGAAGAAGCACTTTTGAAATACCTGAAAGGGTATCATCAGAAGAAAGTCAAGACCTATTATCCATTGTTTCATAAAGAAGAAGAAAATGCAATGAGGGACATTTGTTACAAGAAAGCTGATTCCAGTTGAATGTTAGAAAATAATGACCTAATAATAAAACCGTTTGAATTGCCAATTACCCAGAGAAACAATATGTTTTTCTTCACTAGATGTGTTCAAGTGGAAGCTAGTGGGAGTGTTTTAATTTGAATTTCTACTCTGAACAGGAATAACTGGCTCCTTCCAACTGTATAACTGTATTTTTCTATGAGGTCATGCAGGTAGAAAAAATTCAGTTCTGTAAGTTTTGCCCAAAATATGTGTACCACTGCAGTATAAGCCTATTTACCTTTCATTCTATTGAGCACAATGGGGCTTATTTCTGGGTAAACATTAAAAACTATTAATTATTATAATACCATTCTATATGCCAACAAAAGAATATGCTTGCTCTGAGTATCTTACAGTCTGCATTTTAACCTGGGGAAGATCACAAAGAGCAAAGTAAAAAGAGGAGAAGATTAGAGGCAAAGACTTATTTAGCCATACTTATTGAATACTGCATTGTATCCATGGGGATTAGGGATATTTAAAAAACCTTTTAAAGAAAAATAAACACTGGCTGTTTCTTGTATCACTGGAAATACAATGCCTTGTATGGAACACTTGATTGATCATCTACAGTGACTTTACTTTCCACAAGTGTCAGTGGTCAGCAGTTCCTGACATGTTCCTAACCTTTTTTATTATTATTATTTGATTTATATGCCGCCCTTCTCCGGAGACTCAGGGTGGTTTACAATGTGCTCAGCAATAGCCTTCATCCTTTTGTATATTTATACAAAGTCAGCTTATTGCCCCCACAAACTGGGTCCTCATTTTACCTACCTTAGAAAGGATGGAAGGCTGAGTCAACCTTGAGGCTGGCGAGAGTCGAACCTGCAGTAATTGCTGACAGCTGGTCTTAATAACAGGGTGCTTTAGACCACTGTACTACCAAGGCTCCTTACTTATGGTTTCTCCAACATCTATGTAACTTGGTTATTACTAGCGATCTTAAACCTAAATGTTTTCCAGAATCGTGGATTTTTATCTGCTGCCTCCAAAACTGAACCACTGGGTAGTTTGAGGTGACTTTCTTTCCCTCTGATTTACTAGGTCCATGGCAACAGATAAAGCTGTCCTAGAAATGATGTTAGATTGAAGGAGGAAAAGAAGTTCTTCGAAAATCTCAAACTATTTGATTCCACATTTGTTATGAAGGACAACCAGGAAGTGCAAGGCTGTTGTCAGCCAGATTCGCAGCACGTGGACGATAGAGAACAGCTTGTACCTCAGACACATGAATACAATTCCAAACAGCAATCAAAATAAGTCCAAAAGTAGGAAAGGCGGAGGAAGTTATGCTTGTTACAAAAGGAACCATTTATTTGGGAAAACAACAACTGCTCTCAAATTGAGGAGAATTTGGCCTCTATTACTGTTCTTTTTCCTTGAAATACCATAAAGCTTTTAAACAGAAGAATGAATTTTTATTATTGGGAACTAGTTTTCTTCAGTTTGATGCTCTCTTGATTTTCAGTTAAGTAGGGCAATGGTCATTTTAGTTGAGAATTATGAAATATTCAATCTATTAACATATATAGGGTATCACCTTCCCAAGGCTGGTAAAAAAAGTTGATTTTGTTCAAAAGAGCTAGAATTATCTGGTTTCTGTCTCAAACATTACTTCAGTCAGAGTTCTATAATAACCAAAAATAGGCAACCTACTGCCATGAGAACCAGTGACTCCTCACATACCCCCTTTGATGCTTATGAGGATTGTCCCTAGTTGATCATTTCTAAAAGGCTTTTTAAAAGAGTCTTTTAATAAAATGTGAAATAGGAAGCTGATAGGCTGCAAAGTCAAGTACCAGCTTACATCAGCCCAGAGCATCATTTTTGTAGCAATACCTTTGGTTCTTGTGAAGGTTGTACTGAGATAGACGGATCCAGTGTGGGATACTAGTTTGCCTTCAGGTAAGAGTATTGTGTGATTGACCATGCCTATTGTAGCAGTCTTTGGGTAAGCTCTTTTTCTCAAAATTCCTGTTATGTCCCCTCTTTGCACCTGGAAAAATCTGACCCAGATTTGACAGGACCATCAAGAATGGTAATCAGTTTTTCCTTTACACAAATGGCTATCATCCATATCTACCTACCTAACTATCTACCTATCTATCTATATATCAACCTACCTATCTAATATTCTAATTTACTTACCTGCCTACCTATCATCTCTCTCTGTTCTCCTCCCTCATTTACCTTTTTTTTATTGTTCTTTTTTTTAGTTACTACCAGCAGACAATTATGGGGCACAATTGTTGCTTCTTTTTTTTTACATTGTGAGTAGCTGAGAATCTATGTATGACTGTGGCAAGATACAGATGAGATTGATCAATCAATACTTGATTGGAGAGCGTTCTTGCTTCATTGGATCTCTGCTAATAAGTATCAGTCTAATGATCGTCAGATTATCAGGAAGTATATGAGACAATCATTGGAATCAAGCCTACAAAACAAGCATTACATTTATAGTAAAAGGAAAGTATTATTTATTTCAGTCCCTTCTCATTCCAAGATCTTCTTTACCAAAACACCTCTGCACTTTTAAATTTGCAATAAATGAAATTTTCCAGAATCTCTTACCTTGAAATATTAAATATGAGTTCCATGATATTCTTTAAAAAATGGGCTAATCTGAAAAATTGATCTTTTTTCTCTAAAAGTAAACGTAAAGATTAGCAGGTCTACCCAAGCAAACACTCATTAAGAAGGGATATTAGACAGTGATAAGAATTAAAGTATGTTTCATTACTGTAGTTATAACATGATTTATCCATGCATTAGAATCACCAATCTATAGAACTGAAGAAAATTTGAAAATGGTTTACCGTAATCAAATTTTCTATTGACAGCAGAATCTACATTCCTGAGATGAACATTCATCTTCTGCTTAAATGTTTAAACATTTAAAGATATTCTACTGATAAACAATTGTTATAATTCAGGAGGAGGGATTTTTAAATATATAACTAAAGTATGCTTTGTATGCCCATATGATACCCCTGCTATGCAAACTGCACTAATTGCTAAGATGTTTCTGGATGCAATTCAAAATGCTGGTTATCACATATAAAGTCTTACATACCATGGAGCATGATGATCTGATGGATGCCTACCTCCCATGGTGTCTGCCCAAACATTAAGAGCCACAGAATGGGTGTGTCCAAGGTCCCTATATGAAGCAGTATCATCCTTTGAGACACAGGACACTTTTTCTGATGAGGTGCCTGCCCTCTGCAACAAAGTCCGTCCTGATAATTCCCATTGTTAATGTTATTCAGAAGGTCTTAAGGACTTGGCTACTGTCCCAGCCTTTGGGATAATAGTAAATGAAATTCCTTAATTTTAATTTTGACATAGAGCATAGAGCCATTTCATTCTGCCTTTAACTTGATGGTCCTTCTAATATTTAAAGTCTTCCATCATGTCAAATCCAGTTCAACCTGTCCTGTACTCTCAGCTCTTTGTCAATCTCAGGATTAGATTTCCAACACTTTTCGTGGGATATGTCACTCCTACAAAGTAGACCAGACTAAGAAACAGATGCCATGTGTGTTCAAAGTACTTTTATTCAGCTTACTATCAGTGATAGTAACAGAATTTTGCAAGTCTGAATGAATTTCTCATCCTCTCTCTTTTATCCTCATGTAAATTTAGGGGGTGCCTGTCTGAGACCCTTCCCCCTCACTTGGGCTTCTATAATATTTATCTACTCATTGTCTTGGTAATAAGTTTTCCCTCTTTCTGTCAAATTTGTCTTTTTTAATCTCTACAGGATATGATCCAGTTTATCAATGTTCTTTTTTGGACACAATTTTCTTAACCAGCACAGAATAGACTCATAACTTCTAATCTACCAGTAAATATTATAATTCTGTTAATTATTATGCCGCCTCAATATCTATGAACTTAATGTTATCCATACATATAAATCATTGATTTCTTTACATTTGGTTACATAAATACTTTGGGGCTGAGGGCCAAAAGTAGTCTTGAAAACCAAGGGAATCTCACTCCAACTGGTGAAACAGGCAAGCAATGTCATTTAATATTAATGTAGATTTAGCATTATTTTATCTATATTTAATGTCCTCTTTTCTGCACTAAAATTTAATTTAGCACAATTCGCCACAAATTTGGGAGGAGTTTTGTAGAGAAGGCACGTCTAATGCCTGCAACTTCTTCACTCCTTTGATATAAGGACTGGTTTATATATGTGCAGTATATGCAGCACATGAGGACTGTTTCTTCAAATGCATCATTCAGTAGATCAATGTTTTTCAACCTTGATAACAAGGAAGGTTCATCATATCCAGACCCTTATAATCTTCAGTCCAATATTTCTTAACCTTAGTCATTTTAAGAGGTATGTGGAGAATTCTGGAAATTGAAGCCTACACCTCTTAAAATGGCTAAGACACACTACTTCAGACACTGAATCAAGATGTTGACAGCATTTCCATTGTGGCCAGGAGTGGTGATGTACAATTGTGTATTGTCAGCCTATTGATGATACCAAACCCAAACTGATGAATAATTTCATCCAATGGTGAGATAGTAGGTAAATGTAGGTATTAAGAAACAAAGGAGAAAAAGAAAGAGGATAGCAAATGAAAGGCCACCTGACTTATCTCTCTTTCTCTACTACCAATGATAGGAACTTCCACAGATGAAGGAAAGAATCATTCCAAAACAATGCCTCCAACCTTCAACTCTACAAGCAATCCACAGGGATGCTATGGTCAATAGCATTGAAGACTACTGGAAGATTCAAAGGGCCAGGAGGTCGCAGTTCCCCAATTCAGCTCACAATACAGATTATGCATAAAACCAACAGAATCCATCTCCATTCCATGCCCAGGTCTGAAGCCTGGAAAAGGTCTAGACTATTTGCTTTGCTCTGTAGCTGTACACCAACAATCATCTCAATAATCACTTCCAGGAAGCAAAAATAGTGATTGTCAAAAAGAGATAGATCCAGGCAGGGTCTCTTAAAATATGCACTAGAGGCTCTTTCAGTGCTGCTAGCACCAATCCCCCCTGAAGATCAGTCACTATCATAGCTATACCAGAATCCTTAAGGAGCCAGGAAGAGACTGTATCAAGCCTGTATCAAACCCAGGAACAATTGGGAAAGCATCCTATTCACTTCCTTAAAGTCAACAGGCCCAAAAGAATCCCAGATAATGTGGCAAAATGTCACTCCATTTTACCACAATGAATTTGGACCACAGTAATCAAGAGTTTGGTGAATCTCAGCAACTTCTTTGGTAAAATGCTGGACTAAGTGGTCACAGCAGCCAATAAGGGAGTAACTGTAAGCAAAGATATTGGCTGTCAGCCTCCCACATAATAGCAGGAGCAATAGCACTTAGACTTATATACCACTTTACAGTGCTTTACAGCCCTCTCTCAGCGGTTTACAGAGTCAGCATATTGCCCCCAACAATCTGGGTCCTCATTTTACCCACCTCGAAAGGATGGAAGGTTGAGTCTACCTTGACCCTGGTGAGATTTGAACTGCCAAATTGTATACAGCTGGCAATCAGCAGAAGTAGCCTGCAGTACAAATTCCTCTTACCCATGGCTTGTCAGTTTGGTATCCCATTTTACTCCATGGACATGGCAGGTATTTCATTTGCCACTTCTTATCCTGGAGATCCCCAATAAATTGGGAAGCAGCCCATTCTTGAACCAACAGAAAGAGGACATTATGGGCAGTTGTGAAATGTAAAATTTGTTACTACCAGTTCTGTGGGCGTGGCTTGGGGGGGTAATGTGTGACTGGGTGGGCATGGCCAACTTTTTTTTTTTTTTACTTTTAAAAGCATTTTTTCTACAACCTCTTTGGCCGAAGAGGTTGTAGAAAAAATGCTTTAAAAAGGCTCTGACGATCCCAGCTGAGCCGTGCAATCATCAGAGGCTTTTTTTTACTTTTAAAAGCATTTTTTTGGCTGAAGAAAAAATGCTTTTAAAAGTTAAAAAAAAAAGCCTCTGATCATCGCACAGCTCAGCTGGGCATGGGGGGGGGCAGGGATTTTTGCTACCGGTTCTCCAAACCACCTGCCGCCATCGCTACCGGATCAGGCAATCCAATCTGAACCTGGAAGATTTCACCCCCCATTATGGGGCAATCTTGCAACTGCCAACAACCAGGCACTAAACAGAACTGCCTGTAAGATTAAAGTGAAGGACTCTAACTACATGCCAGAAATCATCCGTATCCTTAAAGAACCCAGAAGAGAGCATCCTAATTAGTCTATTTATTGTAAAAAAATTCATGGCAAGCATCCATCTGC